CTTTCTTTCTTTCTTTCTTTCTTTCTTTCTTTCTTTCTTTCTTTCTTCCCTCCCTCCCTCCCTTGCTCCTTCCTTCCTTCCTTCCTTCCTTTTTTTCTTTCTCTCCTTTCTTTCTATTTTCTTTTCTTTCCTTTGGACCACTTGTAAGTGGTGCCCACTGTGATTGACTACTCAGAGCAGTGTCTAGTCTCTGGCTTCTGAGTTGCCTGGACCAGAGCCAGTCAGGCTTTAACACCCAGCCTGTACAGAAGGGAAATCCTCCTACAGGCTTTGCGGTGTCTCTCCTGTTTCACACCGTGCCTATAGAGAGAGGATGCTCTTTTATAGGCCCTGTGGTGTTTTCACATTTTCAGCTATGGTATAAACCCTCAAACTCTCAGTCATCCACCAAGAAATGCTCCGTGGGAGTCCCACCAGCTCAGCTTTTCCTCACACTGTCCCAGCCACTTCTACCGCAGCAGACAAGATTGGTTGGATCCACGAGGCAGCTGTTTTCAATTCTAGCCTTGGTTTCCTGCCTGGCTTGCGGCATCAGCAACAGGGTCGATCATGCCTCTAGGTCTCTCTTAAAACCTCCATAGCTCAAAAATCATGGCTTTTCCATTCATCTAGCATTTTGACTGAGGTCAGATGACCTTACCACCATCTTAATTGAGGTCAGGTGACTTCACTGCCATTTTAACGTCAGGTGACCAAGTTCTGCCATCTTTACTGAGGTGTTCCTTTCCTTGTTCCCTGGTGTTTACTGTTTTACATGTGTGCTTTGTGCAGTGCCATACCTTTGATAGGGCCCACCATGAGCATCTACTTTGCCCAATTCCTGTTCACTGTGTGTGTGTGTGTGTGTGTGCATACATGTAACTTAAATGAACCTATGCTTACTTTAAGTATTGTAATTGTCTACCTATTATATTATATATAATATAATATTATATATCTATTTTATTACATCTCATTCTAGACTAACAAAACAGCAAGTTTGTTTTAAATTGGTATGTACTTTTACGTCTCTTACAAAAATACTACATATGTAATCCAACCCTGATTTATAATACATTAAGCTGAGTTTGTGAGTTCTTTCCGGACTTTGTCTGGACTGTTTGAGATTTTGCTCTAGAGCTGAAGTTTGATGGACATGTCATCACAGCAGATGAGTACCTGGAGAAAGCCCTGAAGCTGATTCCAGGTATCACTGCATCAGGGAAGTTTCAACAGGGACGTAGGATTCACTAAACACTGCTCAGCACTTGACGTATCTACTTTAGACTGCACTGAAACCCTTGTTAATGGTCATGACAACTGATAAGTAGCCATAATTTTGGCAATCATTATTACCTGAATATATTCAGAAACTAAGATTTAAATGTATTTTACCCTAGGACATGTCATATCAATTAATTTTAGAATTAATGAAAACCAAAACAAAATAGGTAAAGTTTACAATCAAGGTGACTACCTCCTGAGCCTTATTTATTTGTTAATATAAATGATTTTCATAATCTATTCTGAGAAAAGTGATTCATTAAATAAATAATGAAAAAAACTAAAATCACAAGGAAATATACTGATAAAATTTTAAAAACCTTTCCTACTTGAATGTTTTACTAACTGAAATAGTTATACCTTGCAGTGGATTTCTGTGTATATTTTTTAGTAGATGGGGGTAGAGGAAGAAGATATATGTCTCTACTAATGTGCAATACTTCATTATTCACTGACATTTCACCTTCTTACCTCATGCAATATGGTGGCATGTTAACATTACAAATTCATTACATAAATTATGTTTAGTGGGAAAGATAAGTACAAAGGAACAATATTGATACTCATTTATCTATTATTTAGACAAATATTGATTTTAAATAGTTAATTTATATCCGTGAGATTCTCTGCAAAATAATGTCAAGTCCAGTGTAATGACAAAGTAGTGAGGTCTCCAAATGTACTGGTTACATTAAAGCTGTTTGCACAGTCATTCAGATGGATTGGAGCTACAGTCATTCAGATGGATTGGAGCTGCAGCCCTGAAAACATTCTTGGAACATTTTGAATCATCCTATCTTCCAGCTGTCCCATAGAGCTACTATGACCAAGGCAAGTCTTATAAAGGAAAGTATTTACTGGGGACTTGTTTATAGTTTTGTGTTGAGACCCAAAAATTTGAGCCTATTTCACCTTATCAGAAGGTTTTGGACATTAAGATGACCCATAGAAGTAGATCTGCTCTACCTTAACCTAAGGTCAAAGAATTCAAGCATACTTCTTCTCTTTATTTTGAAATAGGAGGTTTGACGTAGGGAGTGGCTGCCTACAGGACACTTGGTCTATGGTGTGTTTATTTACCCAAACATCCAATACTACCTTAGGAAATAAAAGCTTGATGTCTAACATATTGAATCCAGTAACAGTACTTGTTGTCCTTTGTATCCTGTTAAAGTAGTCATTTGCCTTCTTCCCCCGTTTTGTATCAGGGCATAAAAGTGTATGAAAAATAAATGCGGAGAAACTCAGCACTCAAAATTTATCATTCAGTATTTGCTGAGATGCCTTTCTATTACTATCCCGTGTCTCTGTGTTTCTTTCTTATCTCTGTTCTTTTTGCCTAACGTTGCTGATTCTCATGCACCTACCCAGTTTGGAGGAGTAGTACATAGTCGTCATGGTGGGAAGCAGACAGGCGTGGAGCTGAGAACTTCACATTCTATGCACAGTGAATAGGTAGAGAAAGAGACTGGGACTGGTGTGATGGAGGAGGGTTATCTGTCTATTGTGTTATTTTCATTGGTCAATAAAGAGACTGCCTTGGCCCCTTGATAGAACAGAAAATTAGGTAGGTGGAGAAAACAGAACAGAATGCTGGGAAGAGGGCTATGCAGAAGCCATGGAGCCAGCCACCAGGTCAGACATGCTGAATCTTTTCCGGTAAGCCACCACCTCGTGGTGCTACACAGATTATTAGAAATGGGTTAATATCAAGATATGAGAGTTAGTCAGTAACTAACTCTCTAGAGATAATGGGCCAGGCAGTGCTTAAATGAATACAATTTGTGTGTTGTTATTTCTGGGACTAAGCTAGCCATGCGGGAGCCGGGTGAGGCGAAAAGCAGACCTGCCCGCAGCTCCCTCACTACACTGGTGTAGACTTTTGTAATCTCAAAGACCACCTACAGTGACACACTTTATCTAACAAGGCCATACCTCCTAATCCTTCCCAAACATTTCTACCAACTGGAGGCCAATCGTTTACATATGTGAGCCTATAGCACCCATTCTCATTTAAACTGCCACATTAACATAGAGTACAATGGTGATTACTGTGACTGAGAATACAGAGAAGAGAGAGACATTCATCAAGAGATATGAACATATAGCTCTAAGACATATTAGTTTAGAAAGACACATAGAATAATCTGATATATATCTAAAAGCTAGAAAAGTTGATATCAAGTGTTATTCCTACACAAAGGTAAATATCTGAAGCAACTGATAGATAAATTTTTTAGACTATAATAATTACTTAATATATAATTGATGTGGGATTCCCCTCTGTAAGCTGTGAATACCCTCGTTAATAAAGAAACTGGCTTGATCTGAGAGGGTAGATTAGAGCTAGGTGGGGAAAACTAAACTGAAAGCTGGGAGAAAGAAGGAAGGCAGAGTTAGAGAGAAGCCATGGAGCTTCTGCCATAGATAGATATGCTAAAAACCTTGTCGGTAGGTCATGAGCCTCATGGTAAAATACAAAATAAAGGAAATTGGTTAATTAAGATTTAAAAGCTAGCCAATAAGAAGTTAGAGCTAACAGGCCAAGAAGTGTTTTAATTAATCTAGTGTCTGTGTGGTTATTTCTTTTTTGTGTAGCAAGGATGAACAAGCAGCCTCCTTACTACAAATTCTTCTGGAGTCTTTGAGGGATTTGAAGAATAAATAGCTATAGCTTTCTTTAGTTATAATAAAAGATAAAATAATTATACATCTTGTAACTATAATTCTTGCTTGATACCTGTCTTGTTATAAGTAATTTTATTATGTTAAACTTAAAAGCTTCCTCTGTATTTAAACAGAATTGGGGAGGTGATGTGGGATTCCCCTATGTATGCTATGAATACCATTGGTTAATAAAGAAACTGGCTTAAACTGATAGCTTAGACTAGAGCTAGGCAGGGAAATCCAAACTGAATGCTGAAAGAAAGAGGGAAGGCAGAGTTAGAGAGAAGCCATGGAGTTGCTGACAGAGACAGAAACACTGAAACATTTCTGGTATGCTACCAGGCTAGTAGTAAAGTATAAAATAATGGAAATGAGTAAACTAAGATGTAAAAGATAGACAATAGAAAGTTAGAGCTAATAGGCCAAGCAGTAATTTAATTAATACAGTTTCTGTGTGGTTATTTCAGTTCTTGACAGCCGGTACCAACAAACAGCCTCCTTAAGACATATAATGCATTAAAATATTCTGTGTCTTTAAGAGCTTCAATTTACATTTGTTAATACTACCACAATAAAGCTGTATAAAGAAAACTAAGAGAGTTCCATCCAGTTGGGTGAGTGTGTGCCATCCCCAGGGCGGACTGTCCCAGAAGGGAGCACAGGTCTCCACCCCTGCCCAAACTCCTGCTGCAGTAGCTTCTTTGTTACACATGACCCTGCCTCCCCCAAGCCTGCCTTACTGTCTGCAAGGTCCTTGAGCCAGGAACAGTTCCTGCTCCTGCACTAAGGCTATCTACCCAGAGGAGTGAGTGTCTGCCAGCCAGGCAGGCCAGAAGGTCCCTGCAAGGGAGTGCAGGGCACCTTCAGCTTCTGCTGCAGGGTTTTCTGTGTTCCACACGACCCTGCCCTCCCACCAAGTTTATCCTTTTTTTTGAGTGGTCCTTGGACTACCAGAAGTCCCTCTTTCTGTGCTGAGAAGTTCCATCCAGGTGGGAACAGTTCCTACTCCTGCACTGAGGAGATCCCTCCAGAGAGTCAGTCACAGCAAAGATTGAACCAAGACACCAAGACTCTCCTGGCTGCATTTGAAGGAAGATATAGGCAGGTGCCAATGCAAGAATTCCTCCTACAACCTGAAAGACAACATGACATCACCAGATTCCAGGGATCACGCAACAAGAATTGAACACCCTACTCCAGAAGAAATACAAGAAATCGACTTTAAATGTAGCATTATGAAAGTGATAGAGTCCCTTAAACAAGATGTGAAAAACTCCCTTAAAGAAATGGATGAGAAGAATAACAAAAAGTTTGAAGAAATGAATAAATCCCTCAAAGATACCCTAGAAAACCAAGAAAAAGCAATCAAACAGGTAATGGAAACAGTTCAAGACTTGAAAAATGAAATGGAGTCAATGAAGAAATCACAAGCTGAGGGCCGTCTGGCTATGGAAAATCTGGGTAAACAAACCTTAACTACAGAGACAACTATTACCAACATAATACAAGAGATAGAAGAGAGAATCTCAGACACTGAAGATACTATAGAGGAAATAAACTCATTGATTACAGAACAAAACAAATCCAACAAATTCTTAACACAAAACATCCAGGAAATCTGGGACACCGTGAAAAGACCAAACCTAAGAATAATAGGGGTAGAAAGAGAAGAATTACAGCTCAAAGGCCTAGAAAATATAGTCAACAAAATTATGGGAGAAAACTTTCCCAACCTAAAGAAGGATATTCCTAGGAAGGTACAAGAAGCATACAGAACACCAAATAAACTGGATCAAAAAAAAATCTCCTCGCCATATAATCAAAACATAAAATATACAGAATAAAGAAAGAATATTAAGAGCTGCAAGGAAAAAGGTCAAGCAACATATAAAGGGAAACCTATCAGAATTACACCTGACTTCTCAATGGAAACCATGAAAGCCAGAAGGTCTTGGATAGATGTGCTGCAGACACTAAGAGACCATGGATGCAAGCCCAGACTACAATACCCAGCAAAGCTTTCATTCACCATCAATGGAGAAAACAAGATATTCCAGGACAAAAGCAGATTTAAACAATATGTAGCCACAAACCCAGCCTTTTAGAAAATACTAGAAGGAAAATCACAAACCAAGGAAGCCAACAACACCCATAGTAACACAAGCATCTGACAACCCTCCACCAGCACAACTCAAAGAAGGGAAATACACAAACACAACCACCAGAAAAAATAACCGGAGTTAACAACCACTGGTCATTAATATCACTTAATATCAATGGACTCAATTC